GGGGGGGGGGGAGAGAGAGAGAGAAAATACAAACAGTCTGAAATACCATTTAGGAAAGCTGCAAATCTGAAAAAAATTCCAGTATATTTTTAACCAAAAATATTTACATTAAATATATCCTTAGAGTGGACAAAACAAACAGAAATTAATGAAGTACAAGTATGTTTACAATTCACCAGTCTGAGGCTGAATCTAGCCTGGTGATAGATAACTGAAATATATATTGGAAATATTTATGTTTATTAAATTAGCGTAAATTACAAGGCCTGTTCAACAAGTATCGAGGCTGATGCTGTAGGAAACAAAATACTGTATTTACAGGGGCTGCAGCTTAATCTCCTTCGAAGTATGCTCCTTCTGCAGCCACACACTTCTCCCAACATTGCTGCCATTGTTGGAAGCACCTCTGATAAGCAATTTCTGGGATCGCTAAAAGCTGCTCAGTCACATTTTGTTTTTGTCCACATCACAAAATCTTCTTCCTTTCCATGTTTTCTATAGTTGGAAGGAAGAGAAAAAGAGGCACATGGGGCCATATCAAGTGAATATGAAAGCTGAGACACTTATGGGATATGGTGTTTGGCTAAAAATTGTTTCACAAACTGTGCTGAGTGGGCCAGGTGCATTATCGTGATAAAGCATCCAAGAGTCGGACACCCACTTTTCTGGTCATTTCATTCCCAAATTGCTAGTTAGAATTGAATGACATGAACCAACAGAAATACCAACTTCTTCTGCTCTCTCTCAGACAGTCAATCACCTATCATTTTGACCCAAACTGTGAACCGCTGCCACATTTTCATCATTTCATGATGTTGCAGAGCGTCCAGAACTCTCATCACTTTCGACCAATGGTCATCCTTCTTTAAACCAATGATACCATTCAAAAACTCTTGCATGCCTCATAGTCCAGAGGAGTCCCAACATGCCCAGACATATTCAACAAAGCCACACCCCGCAATACTCTGTACCAGTAATACACATTCAGTCTCAATACTTTTTGAACAGATCTTATATGTTGGAAATATATATGCTTATTAAATCATATAACAAAATTGTATGCATTGAATCAATGCAAATTATCTTGGAAATATTTATATCATATATCTATCACTAGGGCAGATATAGCCACAGACTGGCAAATTGGGAACATATGTATATGTCGTTTGTTTCCATGTTTGTTTATATTACACACACATGTATATGTACAAACAAGTTTCATTATCTTTTCATTCCTTTCACTATACAGCCTACACTGAGAGGGTAGCAAAGAATCACATAGCATTAAAATTACATTCATAAAATTACATTTGGGTCGATAAATTAGACCCAGAAACATGCATTACTGAAATTCAAATACAAGTGTAAGAACTTTTTTATTGACCCTCAATTAGTTCCACATTAAAATGAGGAAAACATTACTTGTACTTGAACTTTTAAAAATATGTTGTCAGTATTAAAAAAAAAATTAAAAGTCAGAAGAGTGTAAAGTGCATTTCTATTTCCATTAAGTCAATTCAGGAGTTAAATCAATTTGTGAATCACTTTTCTCCATCTACCATGATAATTGTTCTGTATAATAAATACTAACAAAATTATTTATTTGAAAGTGATACTTCCTGCATCAAAAAGCATTAAAGAGAGCACAAATTACTACTAACAGCTACAAAATAATTTATTCATTTTGTTGTAGTACCTTGACATTTTGTTTTTTCCACTAGAAAGCATTGATATTCCTAGGTTCTGTCTAGTAGCACATGTACAACTAGTTAACTATCAGATATATGCTACCTTGATAACATAGGCTGCTTACAGATATTAAAAAAGAACCCCCCCCCACAAAAAATGGCACTCTACTTGAAACTTGGCCCACTCCCACGCTGAGCGTAGCACATGCTCATAAGAGGCATTGCATTACTTGAACCTGCCTCGCTCAACATCTGTATAGATCAGGTACTTCAGCAGGGCTCATCTGGCACTTTCATCTAATAGCTGATTGAATTACCTTTAGATAAAAAGTAGGGGTGCACCGATAGAGATTTTTGGGGCAGATACAGATAGCTGATTTTTAAGGAAGCATATCGGCTGATACCAATCCAATTTCTTTCTTTCTTTCCAGTCTATCTGGTAAGTCTTGTGTGGTAGAAGGGAAAGGAAGGAAACGAGGAGTGTGGAGGGGGCAGACCAAGGCCCCCATGGGTGAGGGACGGAGTGGGGCTGGAGCAGGGGTATCCAGGATGGGGGGCTTCTGCCCCCGGATGCGCGAGGCGCAGCGTGGGCTGCAGCTGTGGGCTGGGGCCAGGGCCAGATGGAGGCATGGCTCGTTGGGGGTGGGGGTGAAACAGGAGGGGGTGCAGCTCATCTAGTGCTCATCTGGCAGCTCCCACCACTTGTCCAGGAGAGCGTGGAGGGGAGCATGTACCTCCAGATTGCCTGGCCAGGAACAGCCTGGCCCTAGCCCACCCCACGCAGATCAAAGGGCAACATGCCCCTCATCCCATGTCCTCACAGATGAGTGGCAGAAGCAGCAGAAGCCACCAGACAAACACCAGAACACCAGATGAGCCGCACACAGCAGCAGGAGCCACCCCCTTCCTGTAGCCCACGCCTGCACCAGCCCAAACCCCACATCCTCCCTCACCACAGGAGCCTTGATCTGCACCCACAAGCCTTTTCCCTCCTCCCCTTCCCCCACACCAGACTTACCAGCTGCACACAACTCTCCAAGCTGCTAGGCTGTGCTCCTCACTGCCTACGTGCTCTGCTGCAGCTGCGCGCATGCACAAGCATTTATCGGACAAATTAATCGGCGGCATCGGGCTGACTTCTGATACAGAAAATGTTCTTTATATCAGTGCTGATCTGATATCAGACCAATGTATCACTGCGCCTCTAGAGAAAAGCTCCCAAAAAACCTCCACTGAAGAGCATTATCTATACAGATGCTGCTGAGCCAGGTCAAATCAATGTGATTCTCTTCCAGTAAATCACAATTTTCCCCCCATGTTTGTCAGCACCCATTCATGCTAAATTTGTAAGGGATTGGGATTCTACCCCCAAGTCTTTCTTCAGGGATCCTTACTGAAGCTCATATTTACATTATTACTATTTATAGTAATGCTAACTGCATGTTGTAGACAAACAAACAATAATCTTTCCCATAAAATGCTAGTCAAAAGTCAAAACTGCAGTATCACCAGCTCAGTACCTTATTCAAGTTACTTAACTCTCTATGCTTTTTCATCACAGTGCTGATAATGTCACAAACAATCTGTATTTTCCTTTCTGCAAAGCCACACTGGAGAAATTGTTGCTTTGTTAAAATAGGTTTGTATTGAAAATGATCTCGAAGAAACTAAAAAACAAACAAAACAAAATTATTTGCAACCAAACCATCACAACTGATTCTCAAAAACCTACTTTGTTATTTGTTATCGCCTTCATCTCTCCCTCTTTTGCAAAGAATCTCTCTCACATGTTTTTCATACATTATTCTTTCCAAGCTTCTCCCATAATTATAATTCCCAACATGCGCCATTCTAGCAGGTATCATGCATTTAAGTCATTCATTAATAAGAAGTTTATAAATACTAATATAAACAAATGCTAATATATAAATAAGTAACCAATTTAGCTTGGAAAGTGCCTTTGGAAAGTTCCAAAAATATGACAGCACAGTAAAAATAATGTTATTTGTTTTCTGCTCTATTTTCCAAAACAATGTACTTCACTCCAGAATTAAACAGAATTTCACACAACACAAAAATCTTACAAAGTATGCATTTATGCAAACAAGTCCTTTTGGATTAAATATTAAGCTATGCAAATGTCAAACATTTTAAGTCTTAGTACAGTAATATCAGTTGATTATTGCAGCAATACCGGAAGCATTCACAAACATGAATACTACAATCTAAGTCATTAACTAGATATTAAACACAGAAATGGATCTTTACCTATCTAAAACCCCATAACCGTGACTCCCCTTCTGAGAAAGGAGACTTTATAAATTGCCTTAAATAAGATAAAACCACATACCTATCTTTAACCCAAGTATAAAATGTATTTGATGATACCTGCATATTTTGTAAATGTGATAAATCCATATTTCATTCTGTACAGAAAATAATCCACTTCCACTTTCTAGACATGATACAAAATTAGCACTAATACTTGTAATCTTTCATATTGATAGTTAAAACTCAGTAGCTGAAAACTGGAATGGTTTAAAACTGAATACCTTCTATAAAGAAGTTTACAAAGAAATAACAGACAAGTTGATCCATTTAATTCCAAGTATAAGAGCACTCCTACTTAGGTAAATTAGCCAAGAATTGCAATCCATTTGAATCAAGTTCTAAGGACTAGAATCTTGGATTTTCATTAAAGCACAACATAAGAATTGCAAACATGATTGCAAGATTGAAATATACAATCAGTTCTTTCATTCAGCAAAAACAGAGCTTGCTACAAATTGAGAGTAAGAGACTTAGAATCTAATCTCATAAGCCAATTAAGCATGAGTATAAATCATTGGCTTTATTTTAATTTAAAGAATAAAACAGTTACCAGATATGCTGGGTTATCCTCCAGTTAAGAACAAACTTGGAAGGTTAGACAATCAAATCAGGAAAAAACAAACAAGCAGACAAACCCTGTTTAGACACCTGTAAAAATATTCATAGTTCCAATGGCACATCATTAGCTCTCCTGTAAAAAAGACTAAATAAAAATAGCAACATGCCTTGGAAACCGCTAAATAAATTAGATGCAACCCCTACTGAGTTGCAAAGTGGTAACCCCACTGCGAACAATCACAAGGTTTACATCCAAACTTTCTCTGCCACAGTCAGTTGGTGAAAAATCATCTCATCTACCATTTTGTAAATCCATCAAACAGCACCAGTAAGGCATGGAAATAAGTCTTCAACAAAAACAACAGTCAGCCATATTTTACAAACTTTGATAACTGGTGGCAGGCACATACTGTCATCCTGTCAGTCACAGAGACTGACAGTATCTGCCATCACCTCCAGCTGCTTACAGCAGCACACAATCAGCTCTTTGGGCCCAGATTGAGCTTCAGCTTTTCTTTAATTGGCACAGAAGACTGAAATGCATTTTAGTATATACAAAAGCAAAATCAGATTCCTTAAATTGTCATCTATGTGAAATGTTTCTTTTGTACATTTTCTCTAAATCATACCTCATTTAGTCAATGTTATTCAATTCTCTATAGTCACTGTGAGGACTGAGAGAAAATAATTACAAACAACAAATTGAAATTATTTATTATAATTATTATAGACCTAGATCAACAGTTAAATAATAAGGATATGACAAAAAGTAATTTTTATGTTAGGCTTATAAAAAATAAATTTTTATCAAGAACTTCAGAATGATTAAATTTGTAAGTACCCCAGGTACTGACATCAGAATGAAAGACAAAAACCTCAAGAATGACTCTTTACAGAATGAACAATTACTAAAAAGTTTCATTTCAGCAAACACAATAAAATATATTCTCATTCAACTGTGGCTGCTCAATTTATAGTACTGCACAATGAATACTTTACATGTACTTCCAGACCTACAATCTGCAAATACCAGATGTAATTTTGCTGATATTACCACTGTCAAAAATTGAAGTTTGGCTAATATATTGTATCTATGTTTCATTAAGATATAAATAAAAATTTGGAGCTGCCACTTAGTCATTACTCATCTGAAATCCTGACCTAGACACCAAAGATAAAACACATTAAATACACTTTACAAGAGGTCAACTGTCTCTAAATCAAGCTAGCAAGTTTAGACAAAACCTCTTGCTCAAAAATTACCAAATGACTGCAACACTGATTTTCATTGCCAAAATTGTATTAGCATGTGGAGACTCATAATAGCGAGTTAACAATGTAATTATAAGACATGCACAAAACTTGTTTTCCAAGTCAAAGAGCACTAAGTCAGTACCTTATAGATAGTTTCAATGAAACGCAAGTCACTTTTTGCTGTGAGCTCCACATCAGACTCCACCAAAAGTTCTGCTATGTAGGTTGAGAAGGATATGAAAGAATAGCTGATTATGGGTAAAAAGGCAGCTGGATCACCCTTTACCAAGCTGTTGGGGGGGAAAACAGAAATATTTATCACAGTAAACAGAGATAATATCACTTGGTATAATTTGGCATATTAATGCACCTTGCAGGTTGCATATTATGCTCCCCATAGCATATCCAGATTTTGTAGAATCTCAGCCCAATCTAGTCTTCTTGGTTGCTGAAATTAACTTTCCAAATGTGAATCAATGGAATGGATTTGAATATAATCAGGCTACCTGCCCAAGTCTGCAGGTAGCCTAAAATACTGATGCTCCAATCACCTACAAAGTGCAGTGTTAACTCAAAAGAATAATATTGACAAGGAACAGTTGTTTAAACTCATGATCATTTAAGAAGACAGAACATAGTAGACAACAGGAGTGAAGCATACTCCTTCCTACCTCTCTAGAATAAGCATCATAGAAGACAGGAAGATAACTAGAGCCTCTTGGTTGATACAGCATAGGATTTAGGATGGAAGTTCAGCTCTCTAGGGCTGAAAGACTGATTCTCAACTAGGGTGCCTAAGCACCCTGAGGTGCTGTGAGGCGTGAAGAAATAAATGAAAGCTCAGGCTCACCTCTGACTGGCCACTGCCTCACTCCCACTCTCTAGTGCCCCCGCAAGGAACACTGTAATAAATACCTTTTAAATGGAATGCTGCTCAATTCACAAAAATTTATGGAGCAGTGCCTCAAGTCTAAAGAGATTGTGAACCACTGGATTAGAAGATTGAGGTTTTGTTACACCCTTTTTAGCATGTGTAGAGGTTTGCATATGGTATTCCATGAGGAACCAGCTCATGACAGCAACTCTAACTTTTTTAGTCTGCTTTAAGTTAGACAACTAGAACTGTCCTTAATTAAGCCCCACTGAATTTTAATACAAGGAACAGGTTTTAAACCCCAAATATTTCACTTCTTGCATATGGTAGAACCCCTGATCGATACAAAAAAAGGGAAAGAAATTTACTAATAGAGTCTATAGAAGTTCCCTCTCACCTGTTGTAAAGAAAAACCAAGGGATGGTTGGATCTTCTCTGCCCTTTGCATACTCAGTTAATGGGGCACAGAAACACCTAGGGCACACCATCAGCACTAAAGAATTTGTTATCCAAAATAACCTAATCTTGTGCACACACGTGCCAGAGTGAAACCTGAACACTGACATTCATTTCTCTCTTCCCCATGGGCACCCCACATTTAGCGTCTCTGAAAAAGATGACCACACAACTTACTTATCTGCATTTCATTGTTGAGCCGTACATCTCAATTTATCTATTATGAGGCTTGTGCAATTTATTTAGCATTTCCGCTCAAGTTGTAAAAAAAATTAAAACCTCAAAGGCTTTAAACATTTTTGCTTTATTCAGCCACTTAAGTGTATGGAACTGGTTAATGTACTTGAGATTTATAAAGACAGACCACTCCATTTCCAAAAATGTACTGTTTTTTCCCTTGTGTACAAAATTCATAAACACAGATATAAATGAAAGAATTGCATTAGCTTTAAGATCAATTTAGATGAAAAAATCCAGCTGAATTTTCTTAAAGCCAAATGTGAAGTATCATTGTAAACAACTTCGGAGAAGCTTCCATCATGCACAGTGAAAACATCCCCCCTCCCCACCCCCACAAGATCTAACCACAACATTACAGAGAATGGGAAAAACATTAAAGAGAGGGCCAGATTATATTACCAAGCATGCCAAAATAAATGCACCATATTTACTCAAATATAAGACGATTCTGAATAGAAAACAACTATTGCTCATTAGATTCCATACATGAAAACTATAAATTTGTTATACTTTTCAAGGCTTATTTTCCCTTCATGATGATTTGGGAAAAAACCTTATTTTGGATTTGAGTGAATATGGTACAACTAAAGGAGTGACAGTGTTGATTGACATAATGGTGAAGTGACTTTCTTTTAAGAAAAATTTAAAATTAAAGAAACAAAACTGGCTCTAGACTGAATGCATATTAAGTATATTAAAAGATTCTTTCACCCCTGCCTGAAAAAGCTAGTATTTAATTTTTTTCAAACTTCTAACAGTTATGCCTACAGCTTCTATGGATTCCAGGGAAAAATCTCTCAAACCCAAATCAGATACACGTCTCATTTGATTGCAGACATTTAAAAAAAATCATCACTTTAAACTCAGTGTGTTCCCCCACACCAAGACCAGTGCATGCCCAGAAGAGGCCGCACCTTAGTTGGATCTGACTCGCCTGACGTTTGTATAGATTGGGCACTTTAGTGGGTCTTTTTTGGTGCTTTTATCTAATAGCTGACTGAATCAGCACCAAAAAGCCCCACTGAAGCATTCAATCTATACAGATGCTGTACAGCCAGGTCAAAGCAACGCACTGCTTCTTCTGGTAAAGCGTGGGGGCTTTTTTAACATCTGTAAGCACCAATGCTAGCTTTTTAAAAATAAATCTCAGCACTGCAACAACTTTGCTAATAGCTAAAATACTTCAAACGAAACTGTTGTACCATTTTCATGTGATCTTGATCAAAACAGGCCTAAAACCCAACGTGGTAGAACAGCAATGCTTTTTCTCAGTCAGTACAAGGAGAGCAATGTCATATAACCACCTTGTTATACCTACTTTTAAGGTTAAATGACAACACTAAAAGCATTAGTGCTTGTTCTACTCTGCCATTCTCACTACTGCAGCACTAGTGCTACTGTAGCTCTGGGAGACTTTCCACAGAAATATGTAATAATTCCTAAGCAAACATATTAGGATGCTTTTATAGTAGATTTCACTTTCCTCTAAAATTTCCTAAGTCAACTGTGAAATTTTGTACTGCTAAAGAGGGCAGTAATACCCATCAGTCCAAAATAATGACTCATTTCATACACTCTGAAACATCTGCTTTGTCACCAGACTCATTTACTAAACTCTCAGACAGTAAAGACTTTAAATTTGACAACATACTTTAAAATCAATTAGAATATCTGATGAAGCATCTACCATACTTACCATTAGCAACAAAGTTCAAAGGCCAAAATTGATGCATTAGGTCCCTGGGGGTTTCTTGTTTGTTTTGTTTTTATTAATAGTTACCAACACACTACTTATATTCTTGCCATCACAGTGATGGAGTAAAAATGTCTTTAAGATGTTTTATTGCCTCTTACCCTGCATAATCCACATCTCTAGGATAGTTTAACAAGCGAAGTCCTTGTTCCATCTTGCGCAAACTTCCCTTCAAGTCTCCTGTAGCCATTTGTTAAAATAAAGCTCTTCTTTTGGCTTATTAGGCAAGCTGAATTCAGGATATCCTTCTCCGTAGAAAGAAAAATAAGACAATTATGAAGTGCAATAAGATTACCAGTGAAGTATATACTTTCTATTCTAGACACTGCTCTATTTGACAGTATATAACTTTTCCTAATATGATATTCAGCCAAGATACTGTACAAATTAACATCTGTCATCTTCTTAATTCCACTAAGTCTGCCAGCAAACTAGAATAAATACTACTAAAAAGGAGTTTGAATTCCCTGGCTGGGTTCTTCCTTTGCAATTAGATAGTTCTACTGGAATTAATACCTATAATTTATCCATTCTTGGGAAGTATACCACTGAAGTTTGAAGAGAGATCTATAAAACCAGACTTTTTCTTGGAAACAAAGGATTTTTAATGGGCAGAAGAGACTGTAAGAAACAGGCAGGTCAGAAGTGAGGGGCACTGGGTCAGGATTGGCAGTCGATGTTTGCAAATGGGTTCTGATACAAAAAAGGTTGAGAACCACTGCTTTAAATGACACAACAAACATCTAGAGAAGAAACTGACAGAAATGCTATAGCAGGGCCGGGCAAAATATGGCCCATGGGTAGGCAATTTCACCCAGACCACCAGCACCCATGAACTGATTTTACCCTGACCAGCCGGTGCACTTCGTGCAGGTCCTGGGACTCCTTTAGAAGCCCTGCCCCCTTCTTCCCAGCTGAGTACCAGGACCTGCACATGGCATCAGGGAGCAGGGAAAGCTGCTGGTTCCATCACACAGGGCTTCCCTCAGTAGTGCACAAGTGTTGAGAGCTGCATATGCACCACTGGGAGCCCTGCATCATTGAGAAAGACTGGCCTAGCTGCGCTCCTTGCCACCACATACAACTTCCTGACTGCAGCCACATGCTGCCAGGTGGCAGCACCTGCCATGAGCACCCCGAGGGCTCATTGCCTGCTGCTGCCACCAGCAATAAAAGCTTTGCACCATGGTAGGGGGATAGTGTGTGGGAGGCGGGTCCCCAACCCTCCCTTATATCCCAGAAACCCCACACACCCACACCCTGCCCCCACAACATATCCATACACCCCTGCAACATACCCTGCACCCCCGACACACACAGCCACATCCCCTCACAACCCCACACCCACACACACAAACCCACCACCCCAACCACACCCCACACATAATATACAAGATTAAGACTTTGAGCTATTATACAGTCACCTCTATACACTATGTAAAACATAAATCATGTAAAAAATATTTTATGTAATAAAATTAAAATAAATTTTAGGAGGTGTTTAACTTTTACTATATGATTTGTTTTTTTTTCTGGTTTCAAGATGGCAAACCCTCCCTCCCAAAAGGAGTACTTTTGGGGGCAAGGAGACGGACTTCCAGTAGTAAAGATCAGGGGTTAGGGGTGGGATTTATGGTCCCAAGATGATGACCGGGAGCAGGGCACCTGTCAAAGGGTGGGGCTACTCTTGCCCCTTGACAGCTCACCAAAACTAATTAAGCAGGCCCCCAGCCAAAATAATTGCCCACACCTGTGCTAGAGACAGATTTGGCAGAGGAATATGCCAAGCCACAAGAATTATTTTAGACCTGAAAGAAGGTGAAGCAGAGTGGCACCTTACAAACTACCTAATTCAGAGAGGCATAAGCTTTCATAAGCAACAGGAAAAAAGGAAGGAAAGAAGAGATGGCACTGCTGAGAGAGACAAAGGTGGTAAACAAAGCAGCAAAACTACAGGGACACCAAGGTTATAGAAGCTAGCCCAGGTAATGAGATAAAAAATATAGTCTCTGTGTGGACCATACTTAACACAATCAAGTCTTCTGAAGATTTCTTGTTTTGCAATTTTGCATTCAAGTTTGTTTTTTAAAAGCAGCTACTCTAAAGTCAGGGTGCAATGTCAGGGGATTAAACCCACAGAAGCTATTAACAGATGCTTAGCTCACTAAATATGGCCCGCGGGCCAGATCTGGCCCACAGGGCCCCTAAAAAATTTAGAAAATTAATATTAGTCTGCCTCAGCAGCCAGTCAAAGCTGACAGGAGCCAGGGGCAGTAAGACCCAGGGGAAACTACAGCAGGACTGAACAGCCCAGCCCTGCCCAAACCTAGCCATTTCATTCCCTTCCTGCCCCTGCCTTGCTCCACACCACCAATGACTGCATTGCCAGACCGGGGAGCACTGGGCCACGCTGGTACAGGGTGTGTGTAGGCAGGGGCAAAGTCCCACCCCCTCCCATACACATGCTCCCACACCCCCGTTGCACTGCCATACATGCAGACCACCCACACCCCCTCACACTACCCAGGCACCCAGCCCCTCACAAACCCCCTACCTACACACATCCCACATATCCACATGCCTTTCTCACCCCACATACCCACCCTCCCTCCCCACAATATACGAGAGTAAGAATTCATTTTAAGCTATTGTGACCTCTATGTACACTACACTAACACATGTAAATCAGGACAAAGATTTGTTGAAACCAAATTAATGAATGCTGTAGATGTTTGCTCTTTAGAATATAATTTGGGATTTTTCTGGTTCTGAGATAGCAAAACCTCTTGCTGAAAGGAGTACTTCCATGGGTAAAGGGAGGGACTTCTGGTCACAAGCTGGTGACCAGGGACAGGGCATTTGTCAAGGAGTGGGGCTACAAATGTGGCCCTCAACAGGCCTCATTCATGTCTACTTCAGGTATCCATGGTAACTAATGGATGGCCATCCTCCACTCTGCTTTCGATTTTGATAGGGAACTCACTCTAGTTTCTTATGTTCCAAAGAAGCCCAAAGTTGTTCTGATGCTGTCAAGCATGCATCACAACCTGTCAGTGGGTGGAGAGCAAAGAAAGCTGGACATCACCCATGACTACAGTAAAAACAAGGGTGGGGTGGATAACCTTGACCACTTGGTCCATATGACCACCTGCAAACGGAAAATCAACAGGTGGCCAATGACACTAATTTTCCATATGCTGGATGCAGCTGCCATTGCCAGCCTCATCATTTGGCTAGGCTACAACGCAAAATGAAAGCAAAGACCACGTTTAAGAACAGGGCACCTTTTTCTGCAGGACCTTGGAGAATAGTTGACCAATGGACAAATAAAATGAAGAATGATGGATACACGTAATCTATCTCAATCCATCAAGTCTGGTATGACTACCCTAAATTACAAATTGCCACAGAACACCCTGGTAGAACCTTCTGCAAGCATGAGTGGACGCTGAGCTTTTTGCCCAAGGACAGATGACTGCAAAACCTGGAAACAATGCAAAGATTGTAAGTGATCTGCTTGTATGCACCACAGTAAATCACTGCTGCTCTGTAAGGAATGCAATATTTAGTTTAAAAAGTTAGGAAATGTTTTTGGAAGTAATTGTTAGTTTGAAAACAATGTGAACTGCAGACTTAGCAAACTGTTCATTCATGTTTTGAAACTCTAAAAAAAAGTTTAAATTTTTTCATAGTTATAATTAAATAATATTTTGGGTTCAGGGCATCATAAATACTCTTTCAAACACCAAAACTAATAAATAGCTTTTGGTACATTTATACTGTTGTCACTGGTTCCATTTTGTTCATGCAGGTGGGATAACAAGTTACCCATGAGACCAACAGCAGTTACAGTTCCATGAGAACGGATGAGAGTTAAAATAAAGTTATGCACACCATGAATTGCAAGTAATACCAACTACATACATTTTAAAATAAATTAATATTATCTAAGCACTTAATTAAACTCTAAACTAAAATATCTTATCCAAGTAAAGCTATGCACAAGATGAACTGTAACTAACACCAACTTTATACACTTTAATAAATTTATACATTATAAAAAGGAAACTGAATATAATATATGTATGAAACTGAATGCTAACCTTGAGACAGGCAGTTCATGTTAGGTATTAAATGTAAGCATGCTGCACCCAGTTGCAGAAGCTGCAGACATTCTCTGTTTCTGTGGGATGAACACTTGTCCCTACACCAAGGTGCCATGCTGAGTGTCCACCAAGTTTGTTGGAATGGTGAGGCAGAATCTTGCCAAGGAGTAAAGATCTGGAAACGGTCACAGACAGAGTTCCAGAACATAGGCATCGGGCTCCCTTTGACAAAGCTCACATAAGCAGTATGTTCAATGTCATTCTCTTTCCCCTATCTCAGGATTGCTTTCAGTAGCTGTGTGTCTAAACTTAGTAAAGGCACCTTGTTGGGGTCTAAAATGCAAACAGCACTAAGGAAGGGGGCAGCAGGTTGCCTGGTTCTATACACACTATACACAATATACTATATACACTAAACACAATTTCCGGTTTCCATTCAGCAGGCTGAATGGATCTGGCCCTGACCCTGGGAAGGGCAGGACCCAGCTGAGATGAAGGGTTGGGGGATGACCCTGCTGCACATAGCAAGGGGGAGAACAGCTGCCTCCAGCCCTGCCAGGCTCTGTCCCGGCCACTGGGGCACAGACCCCCAGGCACTGCGGGCTGAGTTAAGTCGGGCCAAGGCAGGCTGGGCCACTCTGCCTGCCTGTCCCCACCCCAGTCATATCTCTGTGGCACTCAGAACCTTTTACAGTACTTGTCTCAGCCCCAGGACGCAGTCCGTGCCAACACCCAGGGCACTACACCAGCTGCTCTGTTCCGCTCTGACCCACCAGTGAGGGGAAGGAGGTGGGGATGGAAAACAGCTCAAGCCCCTAGAGCCAGATAGGGTCCTGCATGCTCAAGGTCACCCTGACTTACAGGAGGGAACCCAGGCATCTGGGGACCCTGGCCCTGTGGGCAAGAGAGAACTCAGGCATCCGGGGCCCTGGCCAGAAGGCATAATTAACAGTAAGCGTTATCAGCTAGAATGGCCAAAAAAAGCCAATAATGTCATTTTTCTTTTATCAGGGCTGATCCGATAGGCAACCAATATATTGGTACACCTCTACTTAAAACACAATACCACTGTAGTTTGATGGCAGAGGCTGGGGTATTTCCACTGACTTACTTCCTTAGTTAACTTCATGGTAAAAGTATCTCCACCAAAATTTTGCAGAATGATGGCTAACAAGCATTAGTTATTCTGAAGTAAGAAGTCACACCCACTGTGACAAGCAAGACCAAGCCTTAGACCACTAATTCTCAACTGGAAGGCTGCAGCACTGGGGGTACCTTGGGATCCTGCCAAGGGTGCCACAGGCTGCCATGCAATGCTAACACAGGCATGCAAATATAATTTACAAGGTAAGTCCAAAGATTTCAAATAGCAAGCCATAGCATCAAAAACCTTTTACTCATCCTGTCATGGCTTTTCTGAGTTCTTTGCAAAAGAAAAATTACCCTAATATTTTTCTGTAGTCAAAAAATAAGTAGAGCTGACAATTTTCAAGGGGTGCCTCATGAGAGAGGGATCTAGTGAGGGATGCCTTGAGTCTAAAAAAGGGTGTATTACCCCAAGTGGTTCTCAGCCTTTTTGGATTCAAGGCACCTCTCCATAACTTTTGTGACTCAGTTAGCTATAAATTAGTTTAAAAAACAAATTTGTAGCTATAAGTGTTTACCTCCTGGCAGAAGCAATGGACGATCATCTAAGCAGGGACAAGCCTTAGCCTGTGCTTATCTCTCAACACCTCAGTTATCTCACACCTCATGGTATCCTTCATGTGATCTGACAGTGAGGTGTTCTGGTACCCTGGTTGAGAATCACTGTCTTTAACTATTTCCTGTTAATATCACTAGTAGTTGCCAAAGCAAAGCTTGAGTCGGCCTCCAAGGCTACTGGTGTTTATCAGAAACTTGATCTGTCAGTTATAAAACGTTTAGAGTCTGTCAACGACTTCCAGTCCCATGTAACAAAGAACGTTGGTCAGTTTCTTAGCCAGTGGAGCTTGTAGGCCTCACTGGAATACTAATGAACATGTACTGCTCACATAAAGGCTTTCCTAAAGCACTGGCCAGACTAGGCCTGACCAGCAAATCTGACCAATGCATGAATCTCTCACGTAAGCAGTTGTAATGTGGAAACATGGTCAGGATGATGGTGCAAGATGTGCAATTTTATCGTGAAATGGATGGAAAGATACTTGTGCTAGACACACAGGGCGGGGGTCCAGTGCCTGCACCACAACAAGGCTGGAATCACACTCAGATATGGCCCATCTGATGCACTGCTGGGTCATGGGACTTAAGCCCACACAGCAATTTTAGCTCCTCTCTCTCTCCCCCCCACTCTTCCCCAGTTAATGAAGGGAGCTATTGGACATGTGCCAACTGATTATTTGGAACAAATGAACAAAGCAGAGGCAGGAGCAAAGGTCATAGGCCCATATGCATTGAGGCTGCGCAGGCAGACAAAAAACCTGGCCGAGTCCTTGCCACGAGCGGAGCCTGCAGTCGTCCTTTATGACAAACCTGGCATCAGGTGTCTCCAGGCCACGATTTTTTTTGCCATTGCTGCAGGCGCTGAGGCTTCAATACAACACCACAGTCAGCAAGGCCCGAGAGGAGCACAGCGGCCAAACACACCAAACCCTTCCCACTCCCCTTCCCATTTCTCCAACGCTTGAGCCCGCTGGTTTCCAGCCCAGGCAGGAGACGAGAGCCCAGACTCAGGTTCCGCCCGGGGAACACCCATCAGCAGGGCAGCCCGAGGAAACGGCCCAGCCTGGGACCCCCTCGCGGCCACGACGTCGCTCCTCCGCTACCTTCACAGCATAAAACGCAGGTCCTTCTCTCGCTGTCCCCAGCAATGCCGGAACACGAGGCCAGAGCCACTCGCTACGCGCAGCCCGCGCCGTGAGAGCTCTCCCCGTCCAGCCCCGCGGCGGTTTGTTCGTTACCAGCCGCCTACGCCACAGCTGCCGATTCGCCTCGCCGGATTTACCGCTACGTCCCCGACCCTCCCAGAGCCGTCCCTCGGGGAGCCCCGCCCCCGAGCCGCTCCCCAGCCGCAACAAGTCAGGCTCGGGAGGAAGGTGAGGAACCGTCGCACTTAGCGCGTGGCGAATCTGCCGCCGCGAGGTTTTGCTTCCGGGGAACCTCGCGGCGGGTACGTCACTTCCGGCAACAACGGCGACAGTCAGAGCCAGGGGCAGCGACGGCGGTTCCTCGGGGTGTTTGTTGGGGCACAGGAGAGGACCGTAGCCCAGCCCCTACCGGGGCTGCTCGAGCCTGTTCCCACCCGGCGAGGCTCCCGCCCCGACTCGGACCCGGCTCGTCGCGGCGGCGGTTGGGATTGGAGCTCGCACAGGTAGGGACAGCGGGAGGGGGCCTGTTTTAGAGTGACGGGCGCTACGGCCAATCGCAGGGCGCATATCACGTGTAGGGGCGAGGCGGCTGGCTAAAAAGCCCAGTCCCGTGCAAGAAGGAGGCGGGGCATGTGAGGAGTAAGGAGCACCCCCACGGGGTATTGGGGTCAGCCACTGGGGGTTCAGTAACTACAGCGGCTCTTGGGCCCTGGAGGGGGGGCCGCGCCAGGCACCACGATCCCCTGCCGTGGTGCTCCATCCCTGCAGAAAAAGGAACCCGCTCTGGCGAAAGGAGCAGCCCGCTGCATGGGTGGGTGCCGGAAAGCTCTTTGGCAGCCCAGCCACTCCCCCAGCCGTCGGGTTCTTGCTACCCAACCCCTACTTTGACTGGTTACTTTCATTCCTTTCCCAACTGAGTTATTTTTAGCTCCTCCTCCCTGCAGACCCACCAGCCTCCCCCCTAAATCCCACCAACCCACCCCCAGTTACTTGCATCAGTTTCCCCATAAACCTCTCAGTGCTGAGAAATGTGCTCATGGAACTCCTGATCTATGATTGTAAACCAGCTGTGGTTAACATTTGAACACACCCGCTATTAATGTGTGAGACCCACTATTTATACCCTACAGTATATCAGCTTTGTAGCAGTACAGGGTTATAGGTTCCAGGCCCTGTGCATCTCAGAATCTTCTTATACATGTGACAGGCAGTGACTTGGCCCAGGGGTTTTGAAAGGACAAATGGTTGGAGGACTTGGGATTCCCTTTCCGCACCAATCAGGCCCCAGAGACTCAGACCCCACCCCCCCAGTCCCCTGGTTGGCCCCTTGGGTCACCTGGAGGGGGATAAAAGGAGCAGCATGGGCTGCCTCAGGAGAGACCAGCGAGGGGCAACAAGGAAGAAGCTTCACAGAGCTGGCAAGAGCTGAGCCAGCGGGGCAGGAGCACTACCCAGGAAGAGCCTGAAAGAGCAGGACCTGCAGGCAGCAGTGGGACCCTCAGCAGCATGGCATGTGGCTGGTAGAAGAGGCTTGCCACTGGGCTCCAGGATCCCCTGGGAGAGGCTGCAGTCAGCAGGAGAGGCTCCCCTCTGTTCCAGCAAGGATCTGAGCGGCAATCTGAGAGGTTTCCAGCTCTGCTTCCAACTTCTCTGATCAGAGGCTGGGCAGCTTGATGTGAGGCTCAGGCTGCGGGAAGGTTAAGACCCCTAGCAGGCTAGAGTAGTGCCACTAATGGTGGCTGTGTGACAGTGTTCTTGCCTATCACATGGGAGAGCTGGGTTCAAGTCCCAGCTGAGGTGACTTACGGTGAGCAAGCTAACAAGAAGCAAATCTTCTTGCAGTGGAAAGGGGCCATCGTGTTTTCTCCCCCTCCAGGTACCAAGGCCCTATATTTCCTTGTCATTTGACATTTTGCATTTTGTGCCTCTTTATATTTCACCAACCCATATTGTTTGTTCTGCTGTTTGTGTTTTATATTTTGTTAACCCTGTTTTTTGTCAATGATTGTAAGTGTCTAACCTTTGTTGAATCCTACCCCCTTGGGGTATTGTAGTGTCCACTATACCCTCTGATTTTTATGCCTGTTACTTTCCCAGTATTGAAAGGTATATGGTTAAGTCCCCATTGGTGGTCTGGCTCTGCTCTGTAGTGGGGAGGAGAGTCCCTACACCTCCCACAGTGCTTGTGCACCTGCTTTGATCCCTTCAATTGGAGAGGGGGTACCTCTTGGAATACCACCTGGATTACATACGTTTGCTGAGTAGTTTTTCCTACTGATCATGTGAGAGCCTAATCAAGGAACCTAAATGGTAGGGGAAAATACATAATTGAAGCTTGGAGAAATACACTGCCATTGCTTATTTTGATATGACAATTTAAAAGAGAAGAATTTTTCATAATACAGCTGTGGTGACTGTTAGTAGTCATTCACTAATCAGAGGTTCTTGTACTCTAAATTACTTTGTTCATTATGTTCCAAGAATGAACATGTTCATCCTGGCTTACTGCAAAGCTGAAAATAATTACTTAGGAGGCAGGGAGGAAAGGGGTAGGGAAGAAGAAAGAAGACACCCAGTCTAACAAATGGCAGATTAGCAAGGCTCTGAAGTTTTACTCTTGTGGCTTTACCATAATTAGTCCTGGGCTGTTTTAAATAATATGATAGTCTGTGACATCAGTTAAAGTGGTATTTAATAATAAAAAATCTATTGTAGTTTGTTTAATCATTTCTGCATATTATATTTAAATTAAATCTATTCAAGGTTCTTTACTTTAAAAAAAATCTACTTTGGATGTCTTTCCACAGAAATACCTTGCATGGATGTATGTTACTAAGAGCCAAGTTTCTTGGATATTATGGCAGATTACTTGCATTTTTTCTCCCAGGATGTATATAAACCATGCCCTGTTTTCTAATATGGAATTAACTGGAAGTGATTATGTTCAGACTAGTTTAAAGAAGATTAAGAGAACTAAGAAAATTGTTCATCTTCCATTAGTAATAATTGTTAACTATTAGATTGGCTCTTTGAATTTAGAAATTTCTGTGTAGCTGCTGTAGTTGAAATATGGAAGTAACAGCTGCACTGAAGTTTGTGTAGATTTGTTGTGTATATATAGAAGGGTTACTTAAAGATTAGACAGATAATCTGTTTTGCAGAGGATCATGGGCTAGTATTAAAAAAAAAAAAAAAAA